GGGCGGAGAGGAGGAGGATCGGAGGAGGAGAGCACCCCGCCCAGCGCTGGAAAAAGATAAGTTTTAACCCCTTTCCCCCTTCCAGAGCTGGGCGGGAGGGGGACCCTGAGGGTGGGGGCACCCTCAGGGCACTATAGTGCCAGGAAAACGAATATGTTTTCCTGGCACTAGAGTGGTCCTTTAATGAAGCAGTTTTGGTGTATAGAACATGCCCCCTGCAGACTCACTGCTCAATTCTCTGCCATTTAGGAGTTAAACCACTTTGTTTATGAACCTTAGCCACACCTCCCTGCATGTGACTTGCACAGCCTTCCATAAACACTTCCTGTAAAGAGACAATTAATGCTTAGGCTTTCATTATTTGAAAAGTCTGTTTAATTTAGAATTTCTTATCTATTGCACTGTTAATAGCCTGGTGTGCTGTTCGATTTACAGAGAAGGAGATAAAAACTTCTTATGGCAGAGAATGCAGTGAGACTGCACGAGCATGATCTATACACCAAAACTGCTCCATTAAGCGAAAAATGGTTTTGGGGACTATAGCGTGTCGAATATATTTTTTGCATGTATTTTCTCTTTACCTTTAGAGCTTTGTAAATGACGCCAGGATGCCGAGAGGAGCGGGTGGTATTGGTTTCCAGTTGCTGCTCCACAGCACGACGCAACCCTGAGAAATCCGTGGGTGGGTTGTAGGTGCGCGTCCCCTTGTAATGAATAGAGCTGAAGGCTTCTGGAAAACGTCCAAGCCTTCGAAATCTGTCTTGAATGACTTTTTCTGGGGTTTCAGAAGATCTTTCTGTAAAAAGGACAATGGAAGAAATAAAATACAACACAAAGAGAGGAATGCACAGCCTAAGGCTCTGTCTAGTCTGTTGCAAAATAAAAGTATGTCAATAAACACAAATCCCTCCCCCCCACCCAATCTTGATAAATGGCGTTACAAAACACAGAGTCAGAGAACAGAATTTTGACCAGATTGACTCATCCTTTCTCAAAGATATTTGCTCTGTTGGGCAGTATAGGGCCACCTACAGTAAACCCACAATGCCCATAATTAAACATTCATTTGCTGTGTATTATGGGGATTTTAAAATTAACAAATATTTAATATAGCAATGTAAATTCAGCTAGAATTAGTATTTGTATGCTAATTAGGTTGTTTTCAGGCTGCATTTCAAACTTGGGTTTGCAGAAAAATATAGCCACCTGTTACAACAATCTAGATTTTAATCAACAGACCAAAGAGCATTTCTCTGCATGAAATTAAACAATATGACACTGTGTTAACCCCTTAAGACCGCAGCCAAATGTACAAGTTGTGATCAAAACAAAACGTAAACAAAACCTGGCATTTGAGCTGTATGTCTGTCCAACCGTAATTCACCTCTTTCATATTAAATGCACCCACACTTATTATATATCATTTTATTCAGGGGAAACAGGGCTTTCATTTAACATCAAATATTTAGGTATGGGACATAATTTAATATGAAAAAAAATATTTTTAAAAAATGGGAGAAAATAAGAATTAAAAAAAAAATAATTTTGTTCTACGTGACATTTTAACTGTGAATGTCAAAATACTGTTTGCTTTTACTGCAGTAACATACACATATTTGTATTCAGCGATGTCTCACGTGTAAAACCATACCCCCTATGTACAGGTTTTATGGTGTTTTGGGAAGTTACAAGGTCAAATGTAGTGTGTTACATATTTCAGTTTTTTCACATTGAAATTCACCAGATTGGTTACGTTGCCTTTGAGACCATATGGTAGCCCAGGAATAAGAATAACCCCCATGATGGCATACCATTTGCAAAAGTAGACAACCCAAGGTATTGCAAATGGAGTATGTCCAGTCTTTTTTAGTAGCCACTTGGTCAGAAACACTGGCCATATATATATTAAATATATGATCTAAGTATATATTATTTAATTTTACACTGTTTTAACATCTTTTAATTTTATTTCCAGGCAGCAGGGGGAGTACTTGTCATTACAGGCAGTCCCCCTGCTGGCAATGCCTTGGACGGCTATGCCGTCCATGTGATCGCGTGGAATTTATTTTTTTTGTGTATGCCGATATTAAGGGGGCCGGGTTCACACAACCCTTGTCACCCCTTCCGCAAGCAGTGATTTCCCTTAGTGACATTTTCAGGGATATATTATGGGCAATTAAAAGAGGTTCATTTGAAACCATACTGCTTTCATAAACCACTTACTCTAATCATTATCGTAAAGCACAATACATTCCAGGACATGTTACTTAAGAAATATTCTCAACCTCTGCATCAACGAAAGAGCATGTTACAATGTGGTATACTCGTTATCATAAACATTAACGTGAAGCAATGTACAGTGCTCTGGAAGTTAAATCCACATTCGTGACATCACTATTATATATCTTGTACGGAATTCGTTGAACGATGCCATCCAAAACAGGGACAAAATGGATACATGTAAAAACGGAAGAGTAATCCACTCTGCCTATATGTGGAGAGAAGACCAGACGGAGATGCACGGGGGTCCCAGGTAAGTGTCAAACCTTTCAAAAATGCTTTGACTACTTACTGTGGGCACCATAAACACTACAGCTCACTGTAGCGGTTATGTTGCTTAAACTGACCCTTTAAGCCAGCTGTGTTACCTAAAATGGTCTTTATAGATACAGGATCTTAAATATTCCCAGTAGAATAATAGCTGAATCTAAGCAAGTTTCATTGCTTTAATAAGGGAATAAAATACCTGTAATAACCCTATGTTCAGTGATACAGTCACGATTTTGGGCCCTGGTCTGTTGACCTAGGTTTTTTTTTTTTAGGGGGTGGAGGGGAGGTTTCCCCTCCGACATCACCTTAAAGTCAAACACAAGCCTGTGCTAGCTGCTTAAGATCGTTCAGGTATTTCTGATATTAGAAAGCTTTGGTAGCACTCTGTGCAAAGGCAGCCATAGTGTGTTACACACTAATGACTAGAGATGTCGCGAACGGTTCGCCGCGGTTCACGGCGACCTCCGGTCAGCTGACACATCCCGGCCAATCTCCGGCAGACCCTCCCACCTCCTGGACAGCATCCATGTTGAAGCTGCCTTCAACGTGGATGCTGCCCAGGAAGTAGGAGGGTCTGCCGGAGATTGGCCGGGATGTGTCAGCTGACCGGAGTTCGTGGCGAACCGTTCGCGAGAAGTTCGCGGACGGTTCGCGACATCTCTACTAATGACAAGACCCTTTCACATTATGTAGATGTAATTGAAAGCCAAGTGTTGAATGTTTTTTTTTTGTAAATAAGATTATTTGTTTTGCAAATAAAGGAAATTGGGAACAGTGATACACGCAGGTATCTATTGGCGTATATAATACAAAATACAGTAACAATTGCGTAACATGTACAATTATCAATCATAGGAAATGCGCTAAATGCGTTTTTGATAAGCGAGTCGTATCAAACCCAGAATGTGAATGGACTTGTAGGTCCCATGTCGTATTAGTTTGTACATTGGGTACTCATGCAATTGTAGTTAGCTTGGTAGGTCGGAGAGGGGTTATGGAGATTATCTGTGGAGTACACAGAGGGGGAATGGTGTGTGTACCTTGCTTCTGCCCTTCCTTCCATTTTCTGTAATCTGTGTCTGTGTTGAGTCCCGTTTGGTCCGTGGTCCTGTCCTTTGTCCTATATAGTATGTGTCATGTTACTCTCTTTGTTCCGCATTAGGTTCGGTCATGTCTTTTAGCCTTACTGTGTCCGCGTTTGATTGCGTGACTTCTTGCTTTCTATCGGTTATCAATACTGGTCTATTGTGGGGGGCTAGTCCCTCATGGGCGCGTAGCTCCTTCTAGCTTCCCTGTTTTTCGCTTGGTCACACTTAATGCTAGTGTTTTTGGGGTGGTCCGTGTCGCTTTTTTGTCTTGTGACCTTTTTGTCGCTATTCCGTTTCTGTGTCTGTCGGCTTCTATTGTCTCATATAACTTTTTCATGGTGTGTGAGGTCCTCTCAGGGTGAGTGAGCGAGAGTGTGGGGAGGGGCGGGGAGGGGAAGGGGAGCTGAGGGGGGTGGGGAGGGAGGGAAAAAGTATGGTTAGGGTGGATGCCGGGCTGCGCGGGGGTCCCCGAGTGCCGCGAGTCTCATTGTGGGTTTGCTAGGTTCTGGATTGTGCTAGGTATGTGTACCACGGTCTCCAGAGCTCGACATGCTTAGTGCTTCTCCCTAGTAGGTCTGCGTATCTCGCCTCCGAGGTGTGGATTTCTTCTATTCTCTGTAGCCATTCCGTCACGGTGGGAGGTTGAGTTTGTTTCCATCTCATTGGGATCAGTGCCTTGGCCGCATTGAGTAGGTGTCGTAAAATCGATTTTTTGTATTGGCTTATTGAGCTTTCGGTGTAGTGTAGAAGCGCCATTTCTATGGTGAGGTCGGGTATGTCCCCCAGTATTGTCGTTATTTCCTTTTTTATTTCCGTCCAGAATGGTTTGATTTTGGCGCAATCCCACCAAAGATGGCGGAGGGTGCCTGTTCCGTTTTCGCATCTCCAGCACGTCTCTGGGACTCCCGGGAATATTCTATGCAGTAGTGCAGGCGTCCTGTACCAGTGGGATATCAGTTTGTAGTTTACTTCTTGATACCTGGTGCTAATTGAGCTTTTGTGTTGGAGGATGAGTATCTGTCCCCATTGAGCTTCTGAGTAGGTTCTGTCGGTGAGGTCTTCCCATTGTCTTTGGAAGGCATTCCTCCTTACATGGTCCTCTGTGATCAGTTGCTGGTATATGCTGGATACTTTTCCTTGTACATCTGCCTCAGTGGTGCATAGATGTTCAACCACGTCGTGTCCCTGTGTACTGCCTCCCTATTGGGTAGGTTGTGGTAGAAGTGTCTTAGTTGTGCATAGTGGTATCTATGCATCATCGTGTGTTGTTCTGTGGTTGACCATTCTCGTAAAGTTCTCAGTCCTGCGTTATTCAGTGCTCCTTTCAGGGGGATGAAGTTTCCCTCGGATGTTATGGGCCACGCATTTGTCTGCAGTCCGCCTCCTATCGCTTTGTTGTGCGTCAGTGGAATTAGAGGGCTTGGTTGGGGTGATAAGTGTTGTTTCTTCCTTAGATTTGTCCAAGTTTTCAGCGTCTGTATAATGGGGGATTCATTACTCAGGTGTTGTTTAGCGTCTGTCAGTCCTTGCCATATGTACGTGTATAGGGCCTTGTTCGTGCTCTCCCTGTCTAGGGCCACCCATAGTTTGGTTGCTGTCGCCGCGTGCCATTCCCAGATTCGTTGGAGTATGGTTGCGTGATAGTATTTTCGTATGTCCGGCAGAGCCAGCCCGCCCCACATTTTTGGGAGGCATAGCTTGTCATGGCGCAGACGTGCTCTCTCTCCTTTCCATACGTATTTTATTACCGCTGTTTTAAGTGTTGTGAAGAAATCCGGTGGTATGTGCCAGGGAATGGTGCTGAAGTGGTATAATAGCCGCGGCAGGATGTTCATTTTAATTACCGCTATGCGGCCCTGCCAGGAGATGTAGTCATAATTCCAGTTCCTGAGGTCAGTTAGGATTGTGTGGAGAAGGGGGGTATAGTTCCTACGATATAGTTCCTTTGGGTTACTAGTTATCCAGATTCCTAGGTAGCGCATTTGCTCTGTGCACCAGTGGAAAGGGTATCTGCGTCGGATTTCTTCCCGCACGGCCGTTGGCGAAGCAATGTTTAAAATTTCGCATTTCGACATGTTTAATTTTAGGCCCGATATCCGTCCGTATGCCTCAAATTCTTCCATCAAGGCTGGGAGCGTGTGAAGTGGGTTGGCTATAAAAAAGAGCATATCGTCTGCGTATGCAGCAACCTTGTGTTCTTGGGTTTTATGTTTGAATCCTTGGATTTCTGGTGTTTGTCGTACTTTAGCCAGGAACGGTTCCAGGGTTAGGGCGAATAGGAGTGGCGACAGGGGGCAGCCTTGTCTGGTGCCGTTGTGAAGTGTTGAATGTTTTCCCATGGCGTCAATTGCCATTATAGGCCTCAATTTCATATTTTTGAAAACGCTTTTCACAAGGTCATACGTTTAGACTGGAAGAAAGAAGATTTAGTCTAAGGCAAAGGAAAGTTTGGGGGTTTTTTACCGTAAGAACAATAAGGATGTGGAATTCTCTGCCTGAAGAAGTGGTTTTATCAGAGTCCGTACAGATGTTCAAACTTCAACTAGATGCATACTTGCAAAAACAGAATATTCAAGGATATAAATTTTTGTAGGGTAATAGCTTCTTGATCCAAGGATAAATCTGACTGCCATTCTGGGGTCAAGAGGGAATTTCCTTGCTGATTTGTTGCAAAATTGAAGTGCTTCAAACTGGTTTTTTTTTTGCCTGCTTTTGGATCAACAGCAAAAAAAAAGTGAGGAAGGCTGAACTTGATGGACACGTCTCTTTTCAGCCTATGCAACTATATAACTCAATATTTAGATAAAATATATATAAAAGTTTTTTTTTTTTTTTTAAATATTGGATATATTTTTAAAATCATTTGGAAAAACTACCAAAAGTTAAAAATAAATAATTAATATATATTTTATATATATATATATATTTATTTTTATTTTTTTTTATTTTTTATTTTTTTTATTTTTTTTATTTGAGGCCTTAGAACTGTATCACAATTTTTAATTCCTCAGGATGTGACAGCAGATGACAATAAGCAATTATTTATCCAAGCGCGATACAGATAGAGTGTAATTATGATTTCAAATTGAAAAAGCATGGCACGTGGCATCCTCGGAGGATAACAATACTCTGACATGAAGAGATGTCTCATTATTGAGTTATGTAGTTTCAGATACCCTCCCTGTTTACATTTGTTGGCTTTTGAGAAGGTAGATTTTTGATGGCTGAAGAATGAACAAACAATCACTCCTCAAATAAGAGAACGCCTATAAACAGATCTAAAAAAACCCGAGAATAAAGTGGGGAAAATGTAACAGGTTATTAATTCCCAACTTAAACACATTTTATTGACCTATGTCTGTGTTTGAAAGAGTACAGCAGTCCAAAGAAAACCAAATGTAAAATAAATATATACACACACACACACACACACACCAAATGAGTCACAAATTAAATACTAGTTTACACCTTAAATGCCATAACCAACTGAGTAGATGACGCAATTTCTCTGGTGTAACAATTTCAGCACACAAGTAGTAACCAGATTTCCAGAGGGTTGAGGAAAGGTTAATGCAGGGGATTGGACATCTAGTTGAACTGATGCCTACAAGCCCATGGTGTGAAACTAGGAATGACACTTCCTCCCCACCCGTTGTATAGTGCTCAATGAAGCCTTTAATCTAACAGAGAAATGTGAATTTCAGTAAAAAAAAAAAAAAATACAAATCTTTAAAGACAGAGCACTGCATAAGTTTGTGAACTGCAATTTCCATGATGCCAAATCAGGACTATGTGGATCATGAGAATTGTAGATCACAGAACATTATTAAACATCAGGCACTCCAAGGACTACTGCCAGCTTTTTAATTCTTCCTGTAGCCCTCTTCTTCTTAGTCCCAGTACGTATTGCTCCTTCGCCTCCATCACGTCTTTCCCTTAGGGTGTCTCCTTGGTTCTATGGGGTAGAACAGGATGGAAGAATGCGGACAATTGTCAAGCCTTAGAAACATGAATAAAAGGTAAAGTGCACCCCAATTAAACCTATATAGCTTGTAGGTCAGTTAGGAAGTAATTTGTACTCCCCAGACCCAGACACTTAACTCCAAGGCAAGCCCTACTGGACATACTCTGCTTCTCTTAGTAAGGCCATATGGACGGAACACTTTTGGCCCTTTCTGTATTTAAACAGTCTGAACATCTCTGGGATCAGTGATCACTTGTTAAAATTGGGTAACACACTATAGGGAAACAGTAACCAGAATAATTGAATAAAAAGAGAGAAGGTACGTGTACCGGACCTTAGAATGGCCGTGTTAACGTGTGCACTAGATGAAAAATACAGAGTCAAAACAGGAAGCCAAGGTCAAGGACAACAAAGATACTCAACAAAATAAGCCGAAGTCAGGGAACCAGAAATCAACAAAGTCATACAAAGCCGGGTCAGTAATGAGAAAACCAAAACTACTTCACAGTAAACACTCTCGAGCAGAATAAACCACGACAGGGCAATGATCTCCAGAAAGAGGAAAAGTTTAAATAGGGAGAACAAAAATCTTATTGGACAGCATCATCACCCTGCACCAAATCACACAAGGGGGTGTGACCTGTAAAGGGCAGATGATGTGTCCCAATAATATGACCTGTCACGGCTATAAAAAGCCTGCACTTATAGGGTCCTGTATTTTCCAAGGACTCCTGTATGTGTCGCAAGGTTGCCAAAAAGATCAGGAAGCCTTGCCAGAAGACAGATCATGCAGGGGCTGCTCTGCACGTGGAGCAACCAAACACCACATGGTGTTTACTGTTAGGTTTTCCAAACCAGCTAATAAATCTAATTCATTGTCTCCAATCGGATTCACTCTAAACTAATGGTATAAATGGAATGCTCCCTTCCCACAAGGACACAATAATGAATTAACATATGATATAATGATTGTACGCCTATTGAGTTCAGCCCCGGGGCTGTGAGATCATTCATAACATAGAATGAGTGGAACCGCTGAATACTACAACAGCAGCCACACTGCAACTACCAGTTTACAGACACCTTCATTCACAGTTTTGTAGAAGAGTCTGAGCACATTTGTGGAAGGGGCAGTGCAGATGGTTCTCACACTCATCCATAGCCACAGTTCTGTATTTAGTACAAAGCTCCACTGGAAGGCGCAAGAGTCAAGCATCCTTACCTCAAATGGTTAATCTGTTCATAAACGGTTTAACACAGAACGTGCAATCTAGCACCATTCCTAGCTGTTCCCAAAGACATCAGGTGTCTCAAATTAGGATAAAAAGTAGGGACAGCCACCGGCGCCTGTGATTGTCCAAGAGCGGTCAGCTAATGCTCTAAGCCAATCAGTAGCTCCCCATTCGTATAAACGGTATTTACTTTTTATTTTTTTGAACGGGAAGCCAATGATAACGTAGAGCAGTGGCTGACCGCTCGAAGCCAAATCAGCGGTGCACCTGCTTCTTCGATCCCAAATTGAGACACCAGACAAAAACTGTGTCTTTATGGTTAGGACACTCTTTAGGGTCAAACCATTCATGAACAGTTCAACCTTTACAACTTAATTTCAATTAAAATTGTTATGGCTCCCGGAGTGTTCCTATAAGTTATAAGCAACTATGGGCAATTCGACATGGACGGGAGACAGCCTTAAATCATGTTATAAACAGCTGAGTAGATACACATCCAGCTACATCAGATTGCACAAGATTTGTTCTGCACTTTTCTACAACATAATCAAATAGAATTAAAAAAAAAAAAAACACAACAGAACTGGAAAAAAATAAAATAGTGGTCTCAAGACTCACCTGACCCCAGCAGCTTGGTATGAACAGTCTCATGAAAAATTATGACTCCAGGCCCCAACATGGACAGTGGCACATCTAACCCACATCTTGCAGTAGTGGCTTTTAACTCCTTTGTAAAGTGTTTCAAGTAGGCTTCTGAGGCATCACCAAGAAACTTGAAGAGATCATTGTGCAGACGATCTGCATGAGTTCGGTAGATAACCAGATCTGAAATGGCCAACACTTTGAGTAACAAACGTATTCTCTGACTCAGATTGACATTTGTCCCAAGCAGACCTTCAGTATCGATCACCACCACCTTGTGCACAGGGTCAAAGGCTGCCCACACACCCACTGTGCATGACTCTTGGGCAGGAGAAGTCTTGAATACTTCGCGACCGTAGAAGAAAGTATGATTGAGGGTATGAGACTTGCCATCACCAGTGTTTCCAAAAATGGAGACAACTTTCAGCAAGTCATCTGGATTGCAGTCCAGTTTCTTCAAGAATTCATCCTCATCCGTGACCTTAAAATAAAGGTGAAAACAGACATTGAAAAGACAAACAAAACTAAACAGGTTCCTAGTCAACAGACCACAAAGATGAAGGTCAGACTGGATACGGCCCGATGATTCGGGGCTAATATGTCATCATAATCTATTGTTATGAGATTATACGGATTCTAATATTACTTTTCCTTTGTGTAGGAAATTCAGTATTATACACAGTTGCTGTATCAATAAAGATCTATTTCACAAAAAAAGACACAAACAAACAACTCCCTAAATATTTCAATGAAGTTCTTTAGGACAAGAAATACAAAAAATAAATATAGAAAGGAAGATAATGTCATGTAAGAACAACCCTCTCCAGTATTAGCACCCCTCCCAAGTTCTATCATATATCCTTTCCCCTGATAGCTCCAATACACAGTCACACTTTGAATTTTAGTTTTTTATTCTTTTTCTCCTTTTCTATATAGTTGGATCTTTATTACTACATTATTTTATTTATTTACTAACCCTCATAATTTGGATGAAAATAAAAAAAATTTAAATGTCAAACAAAAAAAATTTGGAATCGGATCATACTGAGAAAACCCCAATCTAATTACAATAACACTGCTATTCGATTGTGTTATGAAATCGGTTGATCATAGTTTCATAAAAATTATTTCAAATAAAAGATTCGCAAAGAGATATTTTACAGAACTTAACAAGCAGTAAGAAAAAAAAAAAAAAGGTTACACAACTATACACAAGGCTATATTCAATAGAATATAAACAAGATATTTCATGTAAAAACATAACAAATGCTGTTCAGAGGCTATTTTCCACAGCTCCAGGTCTTAACGCTCAGAATTTATCAATCCTGAATTATACACCATCCTTTCTTGTATTGAGATCATGTTCAGTATACAAAATTAAATCATAACAACAGAATTTAAAGACTACTACACCGTGTACGGTCCAAAAGCTCTTACAGTCCAGATCGCTTTAGAATACAAAATGTTGTCATTCTGACTTGGGAATGATGCCCTAAATCCACCACTATTATTTAATATGGCTTTGTTATTAATCTGTTATCTGATGCCCACCAGAATAAATGCAGACACATCTCTTACCCCTGCCCAGCAAGGACCCACTCCCATGTTGTCCTATCAGACTTTGCATATCCATCACAACTGTACTCAGGTTTGCCCTGCCGCCATTAGGTTTGCAGCTTAAAGCCACTGAGGAAAGGAACACAAGACTTGTTTGGAGGCCGATACTTAATTCTAGGGTCATTGGCTTGCTGCTGCATTCCCCTGCATCCTTGATGACAGACTCAATTCACCATTACCTCCAATTTAGGCAAGGGGGGGGAGGGGAAAGGGGGTGTAGAGAAGCACACTGTTTTATGAGCCCTGTTGTGCGGGGGACATCAGGTCCCCAGACTGGCTGAAGGGCTGGATATCAACTGTAGCAGCTCAGTGGCTTGCATGGAGTGAGGTGGCTGAGGCTCATGGGACCTGCTTGGATGGGCTATGGCTGCGTTATATAGAAGAGTAATGTTGGGCCACAAGTGCCTATTTAAGGGAACCCTGTGGACAATCGGGAAAGAGGCTGGTCAAGTTGATCTACAGTTTCACAAAACAATACGGATTATAGGACACGATGCCTTACAGATAGCATGGGCTTAATATTGGTCCCTAGTGCTTCCGGATGGATTTCCACCAGAATCCTACTTGACCGTCTACCAAACTTGCTGCTCTCTTTCCTTTTCTAAGCTATACAACAAATCAAAATGTAAACATGGGAGTGGGGGATAAAAATGATTAAACTTATTTAGAACCATTAATCGTCAATTCACATGTTATGGCTATCTAGAAATATCACTCGACCAGAATAGGTTAAAACATGTCAACCAGAATAAAAAGACACCAGTAGCCAAAATACTCACATATGAAAACGGATATGGGTTTTTGTTTTTTCTCAGATTACGTGAAACTAAAAACACATTAGAACATCCTATACGTTGCTCAACAATTCAAATCTCTATATTTAGGTCAACAAAATGGATTCCAAAATAAGCATACCTGAATCTGTTCCGTTTCATCTACAAGAAGAAAACTGACAGCATTCTCGGTCATTTTCTTTTTGAGGTTCTCCTCGTCCCCTTTAACTTCTTGTTGCACTGGACTCTTCAAGGCTTGGTAGACGGACAGAGGATGCTTTCTCTTGTTTCCGCTAGAGTGGGTATTCTTTTGACATTCGGCACAGAGGTTAATCTTACAGGAAAGACATCTAACTGCAGCCCGCTGCTTAGCATCTTTTGTGCTGTTCTGCATGGTACTGGGATTGGCTCCTTTGCAAACAGCGCACAAAGGGACATAGCCAAGGGATATACGAGTACGCTCATGATTCTGAAGTCTTTCTTGTTTATGCAATACTTCTTCACAACGTTGACATTGGACAGTATTGCACTCATCACACTCAAACACAGCCTCATCATTACCAGCACAGGCATAATTTTCCTGGCACGTGAGACCAGTTCTTGGACCTTTGTCGGTAGTCGGCCCCTGGGTGCTCATTTTAAAAAGTTATATAGAAAGAGGAAGGGGAAAAAAAAAATACAAGGTACAAGGTCCGCTATTAAATATGGGCCTTGTATATACTGAAGATTTAAATATTCTTTGAAAAATAAAAAAAATCTGATTATTTGTTCAATAAAAAAAAATAATTAGCTTGCTAAGACAAACTTCTTTTTGCACAAAATAAATCATTAAAACAGTTTGAGAAGGAGGACCTCTAAAGCACACACATAAAAGAAAAATCTTGATCATGCATTAATCCTGAATGTGAATACATTTACAAATGCATAAAAAATATAAAAATATTTAAACTACAAAGTATATACACACACCGCATTTTTCAGTACAAGCTAAACCATTAGCTGAAAAGCCAATACTGGCACATTAAGACAATAACTTTAGAAATTAGTTAAAATAATGCATTTCCACCTGAGATGTTTGTATTTTGTTATTGTAACGTCAAAATCATCAGTGGGAGGTTATTCCAGCACCTCCAGGAAGGACAATCAATTGGCTAGAAGTGTCGAAGAATTTCATTCTTATGAACCATACATTAAGTCCTTTTGGAGTGGATGATGATAGGTCCCTGGAGCAAATCTGCATAGGCAGGGGGCAGAGGCTACTGTAAAATATTATTGATCTTTTAGAGAACTTGTTGAAGTTGAAACTTTTAAGAGAGAAAAAAATAAAAGGGAAGATATGTACGATGTCAGAAGTGATGGCATCTGCAAAGGTCACCAAAGACCATCCAGGACATCGGACATCAATGTTCTGAGGATAGAGTTTCAGCAGACAGTGAATAGTTCAGTAATATTGCTTCAACAACCAGTGTTGTTCTCGGATCTCAGATCTCCTGGGGTTGATGCTCTAGCAGCTTTCATGTATAAAGTATATTGTTTGACTTTTATTCCATTACAGGAGGTTTAGTGCCAGTAAGCAGATCTATACAATCTGCAAAATAAACAGCATTTAAATAAGGAGGAATTACAAGGAGGAGCTATATGAGTAAACAAGAGATTGCCTGGAGGAAATACATCAACAGGCAAATGATTTCATGTATCAATTATGATGGTCAAAATCAGCAACGATACCCAAAATGTTATCGCACTATGGTAGACTGGAAGAATACTGTGGGGGGGAGGGGGGACTTTGCACTATGATTGGACAAGTAATTGGGATGGTAAAGCACTTCGGTAGGTAAGGTAAATAAATACTGGGGGTGCTATTGCAATATAGCAAACAAGACAGGTGCCATTCCAATTAATATTATTTTGTAAACAAGATAAGTACTGGGATTGCTATTACTATACCAGAAAAAGGATAAGCATTTTGCAAGTTATTCTTATAAAAATTGTATATAGGACTAGTAATGAGTTTGATATTACTAATGTATACAAAAGGGCTAGTAAGGGGCACGCTATTCCTAATTTGTAGACAAGGCTAGCAAGGAGTATGCGATTTCTATATCGTGCACAAGACTAGGACCGGCTCGGCGATTCCAATACTAGGACCGGCTAGGCGACTCCCAGCCTAGGACCGGCTAGTAGGGGATTCCCAGCCTAGGACCGGGTAGTAGGGGATTCCCAGCCTAGGACCGGGTAGTAGGGGATTCCCAGCCTAGGACCGGGTAGTAGGGGATTCCCAGCCTAGGACCGGGTAGTAGGGGATTCCCAGCCTAGGACCGGGTAGTAGGGGATTCCCAGCCTAGGACCGGGCAGTAGGGGATTCCCAGCCTAGGACCGGGCAGTAGGGGATTCCCAGCCTAGGACCGGGTAGTAGGGGATTCCCAGCCTAGGACCTGGTAGTAGGGGATTCCCAGCCTAGGACCGGGTAGTAGGGGATTCCCTTTATTAAAAACAAGGCAATAACTGAGTATGAAACTCTCTTTAGTGCAAATAATGTTCCTCTAATACTGTTGCCAGGACTTGTGCCAATTATAAATAGAAAGCAGGAGGACAGCAGAGAGGGTCAGTTATATGATAATAAATAGAGGTTAGTGGCACAGAGGGTCAGTTATATGATAATAAATAGAGGTTAGTGACACAGAGGGTCAGTTATATGATAATAAATAGAGGTTAGTGGCACAGAGGGTCAGTTATATGATAATAAATAGAGGTTAGAGGCACAGAGGGTCAGTTATATGATAATAAATAGAGGTTAGTGGCAGAGAGGGTCAGTTATATGATAATAAATAGAGGTTAGAGGCACAGAGGGTCAGTTATATGATAATAAATAGAGGTTAGTGGCACAGAGGGTCAGTTATATGATAATAAATAGAGGTTAGTGGCACAGAGGGTCAGTTATATGATAATAAATAGAGGTTAGCGGCAGAGAGGGTCAGTTATATGATAAATAGAGGTTAGTGGCACAGAGGGTCAGTTATATGATAATAAATAGAGGTTAGTGGCACAGAGGGTCAGTAATAGGATAATAAATAGAGGTTAGTGATCACAGAGGGTCAGTTATATGATAATAAATAGAGGTTAGCGGCAGAGAGGGTCAGTTATATGATAATAAATAGAGGTTAGCGGCACAAAGGGTCAGTTATATGATAATAAATAGAGGTTAGCGGCAGAGAGGGTCAGTTATATGATAATAAATAGAGGTTAGTGATCACAGAGGGTCAGTTATATGATAATAAATAGAGGTTAGCGGCAGAGAGGGTCAGTTATATGATAATAAATAGAGGTTAGTGATCACAGAGGGTCAGTTATATGATAATAAATAGAGGTTAGCGGCACAGAGGGTCAGTTATATGATAATAAATAGAGGTTAGTGGCACAGAGGGTCAGTTATATGATAATAAATAGAGGTTAGTGATCACAGAGGGTCAGTTATATGATAATAAATAAGAGAGGTTAAGCACCCAGAGGGGTCCACGAAGTTATATGGCAAAATAAGAGGTTGCTTGAGTGGCACAGAGGGTCAGTTATATGATAATAAGCCAGAGGTTAGTGATCACAGAGGGGTCAGTTATATGATAGCAAGCCAGAGGTTGGTGGCACAGAGGGGTGGAAGTTATATGATAATAAATAGAGGTTAGTGGCACAGAGGGTCAGTTATATGATAATAAATAGAGGTTAGTGATCACAGAGGGTCAGTTATATGATAATAAATAGAGGTTAGTGGCACAGAGGGTCAGGTATATGATAATAAATAGAGGTTAGTGGCACAGAGGGTCAGTTATATGATAATAAATAGAGGTTAGTGGCTCAGTAATAGGATAATAAATAGAGGTTAGTGACACACAGGGTCAGTTATATGATAATAAACAGAGGTTAGTGGCACAGAGGGTCAGTTATATGATAATAAATAGAGGTTAGCGGCACAGAGGGTCAGTTATATGATAATAAATAGAGGTTAGCGGCAGAGAGGGTCAGTTATATGATAATAGAGGTTAGCGGCAGAGAGGGTCAGTTTTATGATAATAAATAGAGGTTAGTGATCACAGAGGGTCAGTTATATGATAATAAATAGAGTTTAGTGGCAGAGAGGGTCAGTTATATGATAATAAATAGAGGTTAGAGGCACAGAGGGTCAGTTATATGATAATAAATAGAGGTTAGTGGCACAGAGGGTCAGTTATATGATAATAAATAGAGGTTAGTGGCACAGAGGGTCGCCAAAAGATAATGAAATGTGAGGCGGCGACCTATACCAAGCAGTATGATAGCCACAGAGTTAGTGGGCACAGAGGGTCGCCATATGATAATAAATAGAGGTTAGTGGCACAGAGAGGGTCAGTTATATGATAATAAATAGAGGTTAGTGGCACAGAGGGTCAGTTATATGATAATAAATAGAGGTTAGTGACACAGAGGGTCAGTTATATGATAATAAATAGAGGTTAGTGGCACAGAGGGTCAGTTATATGATAATAAATAGAGGTTAGAGGCACAGAGGGTCAGTTATATGATAATAAATAGAGGTTAGTGGCAGAGAGGGTCAGTTATATGATAATAAATAGAGGTTAGAGGCACAGAGGGTCAGTTATATGATAATAAATAGAGGTTAGTGGCACAGAGGGTCAGTTATATGATAATAAATAGAGGTTAGTGGCACAGAGGGTCAGTTATATGATAATAAATAGAGGTTAGTGGCACAGAGGGTCAGTTATATGATAATAAATAGAGGTTAGTGGCTCAGTAATAGGATAATAAATAGAGGTTAGTGACACACAGGGTCAGTTATATGATAATAAACAGAGGTTAGTGGCACAGAGGGTCAGTTATATGATAATAAATAGAGGTTAGCGGCACAGAGGGTCAGTTATATGATAATAAATAGAGGTTAGTGGCTCAGTTATATGATAATAAATAGAGGTTAGAGGCAGAGAGGGTCAGTTATATGATAATAAATAGAGGTTAGAGGCAGAGAGGGTCAGTTATATGATAATAAATAGAGGTTAGTGATCACAGAGGGTCAGTTATATGATAATAAATAGAGGTTAGTGGCTCAGAGGGTCAGTTATATGATAATAAATAGAGGTTAGCGGCAGAGAGGGTCAGTTATATGATAATAAATAGAGGTTAGTGACACAGAGGGTCAGTTATATGATAATAAATAGAGGTTAGCGACACAGAGGGTCAGTTATATGATAATAAATAGAGGTTAGCGGCACAGAGGGTCAGTTATATGATAATAAATAGAGGTTAGTGATCACAGAGGGTCAGTTATATGATAATAAATAGAGGTTAGCAACACAGAGGGTCAGTTATATGATAATAAATAGAGGTTAGTGGCTCAGAGGGTCAGTTATATGATAATAAATAGAGATTAGTGGCTCAGTAATAGGATAATATAGAGGTTAGTGGCTCAGTAATTGGATAATATAGAGGTTAGTGGCTCAGTAATAGGATAATATAGAGGTTAGTGGCACAGAGGGTCAGTTATATGATAATAAATAGAGGTTAGTGGCTCAGTAATTGGATATGGAGCTCAGACAGCCTACTTGCCCGGGGCTCGGGGTCCACACACGGGGGCCGGCAGTCAGTCAGTCCAGGGATCCCCCAGGGGGGCCGGCCGGCAGTCAGTCCAGGGATCCTTCGGGGGGGCCGGGCGACCTATTGTTTGTGTGAGCAGCCGGCAGGCGGTGACTCAGGGATGACCCAGCGGCACTTCCTGGTCTCGGCAGCAGGGACTGAGCGCGGCTGGATGGGGGAGGCCGTATCCCTGATCGCCCGGCTTCCCACCGACCGCTCCTGTCAGCTCGAATCAGCTGATCGCTCTGAACTTCGGCCTTTTTTTTTTTTTTTTTTTACCGAGACTGAATTACAAAACAAAGGACGTCACAGGAAAGTGCGCGCACGGCATGCCGGGGGATGCAGTCCAAGGTGTTTTCGTTTAGAATGCGGCTGAAGGCGGGACAAGACTTCATTTCCCGTCATGCTCCGCGCGAGGCTGTCAGTACAGCAGAGGATGTAAGGGCAGCACCAAGCTGGCCCTGGTTATAAACACAGGGATGATTGAGCTGAATTTATTGAGTCATGTAACATCAGTAAACATGTAATTTATTATGGTTAATCCTAGCTACAAACTGCAACAATAAAATGGTGGCAATATATGGAGTAGTGGTTCACAGCCTTCATTTTGTTATTATTTTATTATTTATATAGCGCCATCAGATTCCGCAGCGCTGTACAATGGGTGGACTAACAGACATGTTATTGTAACCAGACAAATGGACACACAGGAACAGAGCGGTTGAGGGCCCTGCTCAATGAGCTTACATGCTAGAGGGAGTGGGGTATAGTGACACAAAGGGTATAAGTAGGGGTAATGAAACAGGTTGCTAGAAAAGTATTCACTGGGAACTTAGTCGATTATGTTGGACAGGTGCAGGAGGAGTCATGGGGGAGGGGGTTCAAAGATTTTTTTGAAGGAGTGGAGACTGGGTGAAAGTCTTACGGAGAAGGGAAGGGAGTTCCACAGAAAAGGTGCAGCCCTGGAGAAATCCTGGAAGTGAGCATCAGAGGTGGGAGTACGGACAGATAGGCGTAGGTCTTCGGCAAAGCGCAAGGGCCTTGACGGGACATACTTGTATATAAGGGAGGATATGTAGGTTGGAGCAGTATTATGTAGGGAGTTGTAACCAAGCACCAGAATCTTAAAATTAGCCCTATATCTAACTGGAAGCCAATGTAGGGACTGACAGAGGGAGGAGGTGCGGGTTGACAGGAAAATGAGCCTTGCCGCCGCATTATAGATTGCAGCGTTGCAAACTGGGAACACGTAAGACCAGTGAGAAGGGGATTGCAGTAGTCAAGGTGTGACGCCAAGGGTGCATGATTCATTGTTGCACAATAGAATATTGTCATTTAACTTAATTTGTGTAGTGAATATATGAATTGGCCACTTGGTTGCAAGGTCAGATGACAGAAGGGGTAATGTAAATAGTATAGGAATGTAAAAGGGGGCAGATGGTTTGCAACATGAATTGATCCTTTGATTAATCAAAGGCTCCTTGGAGTGTGAGATTCTACACTTGAGATACCTGGATGTCTAGTTACAATGTAAACTAGCTGACTTCAGCCATATGGCTTCTACCTCTCAATTGATAAGTTAATTTCTTTTATATGTTAATGATCATTAGCCTTGTGTTCAAGTATCATATCCAAAAGAAACATTAATACTTATCCACAGAATAATAATCATTTTTATTATATTTAGAATGGCACAAGCACAATCTTCTAATCAAGCCTAAACATGATTTAACCATATGACAAGGGATTGTGATGTCCGCTATATTGGGTCACAATTAAGGAATGTGACATATCTATGGAATGGAAAAATGGTAACGAATTCATAGATGCAGTTATTATTTCTGTGGCATGTACATAAGAGGAGATAGAACCAAATGTTTTCATTTGGACTAATGTTGGTCTGGAACACAAGTGGGTGGTCACTTCTAGTTACCATAGGTATGCCTTATCTCCACCTCTAGGCCAGGCTTGGTAATCCACAGGGTATATGTTTAATGATTCTGGAATGTGTTTGTACTTGCTTGGGGGCAAGAATCTAATTCTAAATGAGTCACCATCTTCCCTACCCAAGGCCCCCAGGGCAAAAGTTTTACTTTGAAAACCTGAGTAAGTGATTAGGACTTCTGTATTTTATCCCTTTTGTTTTTATCTGTTGTTGGTGTAAATAATTTGATTATCATCTAATTTTTGTATGCACTGTGGCTATTTTTTGCTCATAATGAATATTCCTTTATTAAGTTCTGCCTTTGTCTGATAAAAAAATCACGTTACCTGAAGAGACTAATTAGTGTTTTTCAAGATATTGTGCTAAGTTGTATTTGGTGGATTTTTATTATAAAGTTACCTGGAGGACCAAGGTACCCCATTTATAAATTGTCTTGGTGGTGGCAGCATTAAAATAGTAATATTTATATTAATATGCTTACGTGTGGATGGTGTTAAGGTGGATTTTATTATTATTTCCAATCTAGTGCAGACAAATAGTGAACTTTATAGTCACCAGGGCCGGACTGGCCCACCGGGATACCGGGAATGCCGTCGGCACCTGGGGCCGGGCAAACAGCTGGGTGTGCCGGGGGACTTGTGCTGGAGCCTGGTGGCCGCTGGGGGACTTGTGCTGGAGACTGGCGGCCGCTGAGCGACTTGTGCTGGCGGCCGCTGGGGGAGCTGCGCTGGCTCTGCTCCCCAGCGCGCAGCTTAATGAGACCGCGGCCAGAATATGACGTCATATTCCGGCCGCGGTCTCATTCAGCAGCGCGTGAGGGCGAGAGAGCAGAGCCAGCGCAGCTCCGCCAGCGGCCGCCAGGACGAGTCCCCCAGCGGCCGCCAGGTTCCAGCACAAGTCCCCCAGCGGCCACCAGCACAGACAGCCATCTGCACTGCACGACCCCCAGGCAGGTAGTAGTAATGTGTGTCAGTGTGAGTTTGTCTGTGTGTTATGGTGTGTCTGTCTGTCTGTGTCATGGTGTGTGTCTCTTATGATGCGTGTGTCTGTCTGTGTCATGGTGTGTGTGTCTGTCTGTCTGCCTGTGTCATGGTGTATGTGTCTGTCTGCGTCATGGTGTGTGTGTCTGTCTGTGTCATGGTGTGTGTGTGTGTCTGTCTGTGTCATGGTGTGTGTGTCTGTCTTTCTGTGTCATGGTGTCTGTGTCATGGTGTGTGTCTGTCTGTCTGTGTCATGGTGTGTGTGTGTCTGTCTGTGTCATGGTGTGTGTGTCTGTCTGCCTGTGTCATGGTGTGTGTCTGTATGGTGTTTGTGTCTGTCTGTCTGTGTCATGGTGTCTGTATGGTGTGTGTCTGTCTGTGTCATGGCGTCTGTCTGTTATGGTGTCTGTGTGTGTTTGTCTGTATGGTGTGTGTGTCTGTCTGTCTGTGTCATGGTGTCTGTCTGTCTGTCATGGTGTGTGTGTCTGTCCGTCATGGGGTGTGTGTCTGTCTGTCATGGTGTCTGTCCGTCATGGGGTGTGTGTCTGTCTATGTCATGGTGTGTGTGTCATAGTATATGTGTGTGTGTCATGGTATTTGTGTCTGTCTGTGTCATGGTGTGGGTGTGGATCTGTCTGTGTCAGCGGCCGCCAGCACAAGTCGCCCAGTGGCCGCCAGGCTCCAGCACAAGTCCCCCAGTGGCCACCAGCACAGACAGCCATCTGCACTGCACGACCCCCTGGCAGGTAGCAGTAATGTGTGTCAGTGTGAGTTTGTCTGTCTGTTATGGTGTGTCTGTCTGTCTGTGTCATGGTGTGTGTCTCTTATGATGTGTGTGTCTGTCTGTGTCATGGTGTGTGTCTTTCTTTCTGTGTCATGGTGTGTGTGTCTGTCTGTGTGTGTCATGGTGTGTGTGTGTGTCTGTCTGTGTCATGGTGTGTGTGTGTGTCTGTCTGTGTCATGGTGTGTGTGTATCTGTCTGTGTCATGGTGTGTGTGTGTCTGTCTGTGTCTTGGTGTGTGTGTCTGTCTGTCTGTGTCTTGGTGTGTGTGTGTCTGTCTGTCTGTGTCATGGTGTGTGTGTCTGTCTGTCTGTGTCATGGTGTCTGTCTGTGTCTGTGTCATGGTGTGTGTCTGTATGGTGTGTGTGTCTGTCTGTGTCATGGTGTCTGTCTGTTTGTTATGGTGTGTGTGTCTGTCCGTCATGGGGTGTTAGTCTGTCTGTCATGGTGTGTGTGTCTGTCCGTCATGGGGTGTTTGTCTGTCTGTGTCATGGTGTGTGTGTCATGGTAAATGTGTGTGTGTCATGGTGTCTGTCTGTGTCATGGTGTGTGTGTAGGTCTGTCTGTGTCATGGTCTGTCATGGTGTGTATTTGTCATGGTATATGTGTGTTTAAAAATAGTGTTTTTGGGGGCGTGGCCTGGCTGCCGAGCGTAATGGCTGCTTAAGCTCAGAGCTCTGCGCCCTGCACGATCCAAAACGCCAAGCAATAACCACAATCATCCCTGCCGACGTTCCCAACAGCCACTCACCATAGGAGGGAAACACCGGGATATGGCGACGCACAAAAAAACCGGCAAAAAACCGAAGGACGGGATCCTATCCGTGGCCGACCTCCTCACAACGCCTAGACCGCATGTAATCAAAGATGGCGGCGGCCAGATGAGCGCGGGCTCCCCTGACTCCCCAAGCACCGGAGAGCACGGGCACCAACCTCCACAGACATCCAATGCGGAAATTCTACAATCTCTCGCAGAGGTAAGACACTACCTAGCGGGGGAAATAGAGAGATCTGCGCGGGAGGTTAAGGAGGAGATACAGACAGTGGGGCAACGCACGGAGGCCCTGGAATGGAGGATGGACCACGTGGTGGCGGCACACAATGAAGCAGCCTCCACCACCAACCACCTCATCACTAGGGTGGCAGAACTAGAGGCTGAAATTGAAGATGCCTCAAATAGGTCCCGCAGAAATAATCTAAGGGTAAAAGGCCTACCGGAAAGAATAAAAGACGCAGACATACAGAAGGTGCTCTTGGGGCTATTTAAAGAGCAACTGCCAGCCATACCAGAACACCTGTGGACTATAGACAGGGCACACAGGGCACTAAGAGCAAGAGGCCCCCCTGACAGCCCCCCCAGAGATGTCATAATGCGGTGGCACTTTTTCTCAACCAAGGAAGCCATTATAAAAAGTGCCCGCCACCACACTTACTCGCTGGACGGCTCCACACTACACCTGTATCAGGATATTGCACCCGCCACACTAGCCAGGAGAAGGGAATGGAAACCCATTGCCGACTTAGTCAGGGCCAAGGGCCTCAACTTCGCATGGGGCCATCCCTTCAAAATGCTCGTGTTTAACGGACCGAGACCGGACGTACTCCTGCCCTCAGCAGACCCTAAAACTTTCCTCCGCAACCTGGGTATTGAAGTCCCAGAAGATTTTCGCCTACCCCACAGAGGCACTCAAGCACTGGGCCACTTGCCCAGAGAAGAAGCAGCG